ACGCCTGCAAAATCAACACCTCGAACACTTTCAATTTCCCCGCCACAAAGGAAACTTTAATTTTCATATAGATTCGATATCAGAAAACTTACGTGTATTTATTGAAACGCTCAGGATCGTTAAGCAATTGTTGGTAGATGCTTAGCTGTTCCTTTTCGTGGCTATCGACAAACGCTTTGAGGTCTTGAAATTTGGCATCTCTGCACAGCGACATTCCTGATGAAAGGCTTATCGTATCGTATGTTCGCGATGGCGGTCTCGCCACAATATCACGCGAAATTCGTTAACGGTTGGAAAATGACGATGAATCTACTCGAACTTAGCACAAATATCCTAAATGAGATAGCACTGAGTTGGGAACAGAAGTAATAAAAAAAAAGAAGAAATTGAAGAAGAAAAAGAAAAAAAAACAGAAGAAAAGAAGAATCGAAAGAAAGTAATTGAATAATCCTAGAACAATTTTTGCACAGGAAGGGAAATCGAACTTCCCCAGTCACGGTAAAACCAAAGAAGCTGATACACTGGTGCTGTTAGTTAGGCTGCCTAATCCACGAGAAGCTCCTGCATTTCAGGAGAAGAAATTCACCCCGTTTACATCAAACCGGCAGAGGTTTTAGAAAAATTGGCTGAATAGAGGCTCAATACCGCTTGGAGATTTCAAGAAACTCCAAACTCATAGTAGCTACATTTCCTAAACGATTGAAAACGATCCTCATTGAAGATGGACGTTACCGCCACAAAAAAAGCTATGTTGATGTGCATCCCATGTTCTGTTGAGAAAGTTGATCATTTCGACGAGTACAGCCGCCATTGGTGAAGCGGGCATCTGGAAAACAAAGTCGAAGTGAAAATCGAAAGAATACACTGAAGTGCTTGGGGGAGCGGAGGAAGAGAGGCGTACGAACGGCACACGAAGTCGCCACGATTGATCGCACTCTCTCGTGGGAAGGAATGAACGCCCAATTCCCGCCTGTCTGCATGCCTGCGTTGCGATGGTTGTGGTTTTTTCGCAGACTCGACTCTAGCCCCACGGAAAATAGTTGACTCGCACTTTAACAAATGTCGTGGACAATGAACTAGCATGATGTGTTGATTCATTTCAACAATGTAGAAAGGTTCTGATTTCGCCGTCCTTTACATGGGGACGGGTTCTGATCGCCCCTTCTTAGTGGACGTTAAACAGTTGTCGTGAGAAGCCAGTATTACATCACACAAAAGTGGAATGTCAGCATTTGGTAAGTGTTGCCACTCGGCGATTGCTTTCACTGTGAAAACATCCGAGTTATTAATGCACTCGGACAATGGAACCATTTTTTTCTTAGGCAGCTGCACAGAGATAAATGTAGTAATGCATTTGTTGGAGAAGAGATTGGTTATCTCCACAATTTACGATAGGCTATGTGCGTTGCAGGTTTGTGGGCTAGAGAGGAATTCATTACAAAGGTTAATGACCATTTTGTTAGATCCCTATATGATTTCATGCAATTAAGACTGAACTAGAAACACAACAGCATAGATGTGACATCTTTTCAAAGGAATGATAAGGCAATTACAGCAAAACCGGAATTTCTCACTATCAGAGTAGAGCGTTAAGCGTTGCCGCGCTCTGTGACATTGGTCGTAGATCGATATCGCGCAGGCCAGCGGTGAATTATTTCTTGGACAGGTTTTTATTGATTGTGTTGTCGCCTTTTTCATTTTTTTTTGTGTACGAAGATAGTTTTCTTTGACTACTGGAACAATGTAACGAAAATACATCATCATGGAATGGAGCGATCCCTCCCATCGCGCAGCCCATTCGACGCAGTTGGCGAGCTGGACAACTCGTCCAGGTGATTGGGCAACCCACTGCTCATCCAGCTGATAAAAACTACTTTCGATGACGCCACGCCGATAGACAGATTACAAGCAGGTCCACAATTCGGCGTCTAGTAGCAGCTTCATCAATCGGGCTTCTACCAGCTGGATGGGCAGTGTATTGTCCTACCACCTGGACGAGTTGTCCCGTCCGCAAACCACTTCGAATGGTCGGCGCGATGAGAGGGATTGCGCTAGACGATCGCCTCCATCATGGGAGAGCTCCACGCAGCTCCGCTTGATAAATAACATGCTCCAATGCAAGCACCTTCAGCGGCGGCTTGGACCCTAACGCGGCCTCGACGCTCGACGCTCAACGCTCATCGCTGGGCTCTGGTAGGGCATGTCGTTTGCCATAGTTTTCGTGTAGAAATACCACCACCCTGACTGCATCAACATCAGAGGGAGTTTTACCTGCATATCAGGAAGAGGGGGGTCGAATTCGTGGGTCCGGAACTAATTACGATTCTTCGCGGTCTACGACCTTCGCGATCTTTCTTTCCTCTCATTTTCTCTTCACATTGACTCGAAGCTGAGCGACGTCCCCGCAACCTGTCTGCGTATTTTTTGGCTCATTGATATCACGCGACAATCTGCGCCGCCAAAGGACCGCCTCCCTGTCTGGCGTGGTAATTCGCTTTTCGCAAGCTTAGGACAAATGTTGCATACAGACCTTTACTCAATATATGCAAAAGGATGAAGAAATGGTGTTGGATAACTGATAGTGGAAGGGAGTTTGTGATTAGCGCATAAGCTCTCAGATATCGCTTTCGCCGCTCAGAGCCACCAGAAGACACCTCTCTACGAAGACTCTCGGAATAATGCGTAATCGGGCGAGGCCGTGCAGGCGATTAACAGCTAACGTCTGCTATGCAGTGAAGCGATAGAGTATGGACGTAAAAGAGAAGTGCAGCAGTTCTAGTCGAAGTCGCTGAGACTGGTAAGAGAATACGCACTGACTGCTGCTTTGCCATTCACATGAAGATGATTGTTTGCCTTCCCACTCTGAAGGCTCAGAGGCTACATCATCACGTAAGGCTATCTATTATAGGCAGCCACTTAAGACTTTTACTCCAATCTCTTTAGTAGCCACGGCAAGCTGGGTATGTAGCTTCTTAAATCCTTCCGAGTTTAACACACCATTACATCGATGAAGAGTTGTACACCGCCAGGCCCTGATAGGATTAAACTGGAACATCTAAAAACCTTCCTCTTGTTATCGCATAAACTTTGTCGTGACCCTTTGCGCAGTATCTGTCGGAATGCAAAATACCAACGTCGTGTAAGACTGGAAGACTGTGTTGCTGTATAAGAACAGAGACCTAGATGATATTCCGATATTAGCAACTGTGGCCCGATCTGCGTGTAGCTTTAAACTCTTCACAAGGACCATACTCAATAGGCATGGAAGAATACTGGATGAAGGACAGCCATGCGAGAGCAAGGTGCGGTGCGAACAGTTCTATCTACACTGTTACCCGACTCAAAGAAGTATCATGAGTATATGATGCCGTTATGCCTTAAACTAGTTGGGGGTGACTTAGTCTCGACGGACGCGCGGAACGGACGTCCCCCCTGACGTACGCATCGGTTCCCCTTGCAGACTATGGTGGTTTCTCAACAAATGCACAGCAAATGGGAGTTTTTGAAATGAATGAACTTCATGCACAGTACACCTTCTTTTACAGAACTGGTTTCACTCCAACCTTTTCACTCAATCTATGACATTGTCAGTCGATCACAATGTGCACACTGATAACAAACGCCAAATCGAAAGGGGTTATGGTTGCGAGCAATGAACTCAACGTAGAAAGTTTAAAGGGAACTATGCCACTCACGGAAAATTGGTAAACTTTAGCTTCAAGACTCAGGGAAAGGATGGATTTGACTTACGTAAACAGCTGCAATTCATCTTATGAGAGGCTCTTCATAGGAACCTCTATGTATCCGCAATGAGTTTGGGGATAAGCTGGGCACAATGAAATTTCGTTTCGATTTGGTCCTGTTGAGCCCGCTTTCGAAAGTCATACTACCCAGAATCAAGATTCAGCAGCTTTATGCAAGATTCTACTTTCTATGCCACTTGCAGAAGCTGGAAGTTCTAGAAGGGCCGGCAAGATGTTCCCTACTGAAACCCCTTTATTCTGTATGAGAAGCCTGCACTACAACCATCGCATTGTAGTCGAATGTAAAAAAATATAATTCAGACATTCAGACAGAAAGATAGCAATTCCGAGAGCCAAAAAATATACTCCTTGTGTCTACATTTGAAAAAAAAAACGCGCCATGAAGATGTACTGTTAAAGGCACAGTTCACGATAAAAGTGG